GCGAGCTTCAACTCCCTGAAACCAGAGAAGGGTCCGAGATATTTCACGGTCAATACACAGATCCTCAAAGATCCCGGCGTGGTCGATTGGATGGAGAGATTTTGGAGGGATTTTGGAGGGATTGGAAGAAAATTGCAGATTCTTTCTCATCAAAGGCAGACTGGTGGGACGCTGGTTCCCATATTTTCTCAAGTCACCTAAACCTCTTCTCTCGAATCTTGGCAGTTGGGCGAAAAAATCAGGAACAGATCATGATTAAAAGAATCGAGTATGCTGAAGCTAGGATGAATCTTCAACCTATCTCAAATTTGGTTTGGAATTTTGTGAGGGAAAAACGGTGGCTGAGTGAGATTCTTATCAACAAGAACAGTCTGAGTTGTGGGCAGAACGTCTGAAGGTTAAAGGAATTGAGGTTTACGATCGGATGTCTAGAGAGTCCTTCAAAAAATTGCTCCCGAAACGCCTGTCACACCCCATGAGCCAATTGATGCACCCTTTTGATAAGGAACTTCCAGCGGCATGTGATCAGACCCAGCTGTGTACCTACGCAACAATGTATTACCAGGATATTCTTACGACTAGAGGACCACACGAAGACATTACTACTGATCTTACTGTTGGCTCTAGCCACTGGTCTTCATGTTCAACCAGACTCTCTATACAAGGCAAGTTGGACTTAGACCGCCCGGTAACAGTGGAAGAAGCTTGGGAAGCCCTTCGCTCGATGGCCAAAGGTAAAGCCCTAGGTGACGACGGTCTCCCCGTTGAGCTCTACTTATTGATCTAGGATTCGATTAAAGGAGAACTTGTAGATATTTATAACCAGGCTTTGCTAGGGAATAGCCTATCGAAGGGAATGAGAAACGAAATCATATCCTTGCTGTACAAAAAAGGTGATCGGTCTGAAATTAGAAATCGGAGACCAATTTCCGTACTTAACGTGTCATATAAACTCCTTGTTAAAGTCTTGGCAAGGAGGTTGGGTCGATACCTGTCGGATTTGGTGAACAAGGATCAAGCAACCTTCATACAAGGCCGTTTTATATTTGATAATATAGTAACGGCCATCAAATCTCTGGAAGTAGTAGAGAATACATCTGCAGATGTCATGATACTTATGCTGGATCTTGAAAAAATTTATGATCGTGTAAACTGGACCTATGTCCTTTCTACACTCAGACATTTGGGCTTTGGATAAAATCTGTGTAATTGGGTGGTCGCCTTGTATTCTCAGTCAACAGCGGCGGTAATGGTTAACGACAATCTTTCGGAGTCCTTTGCTCTAACCAGATCACTACGCCAGGGTTGCCCCCTGGCCCCTCTTCTGTTTGTTTTGCAAATGGAGACCCTCCTCTGTAACATAAGGGCAAAGCCGGAAATTAGGGGATTAAAGGCAGGTAACTCTCAATGCAAAGTCAAGGCACTTGCCAATGACTTGTTTGTAATCTCAGAAAACATTGAACCTTCCATGGTTACCTTAAAGTCCTGTCTGGATGAATATTCAGAGTTGTCAGAAGCATCTGTGAATTGGTCGAAGTCGGTGTTTTTCTTGCCTTCACCACACAATCCGGTAGTAAACTGGGGTATGAACCGTATAAAGACAGGGGAGTCTGAGAGGTTTTTAGGGGTCCAGGTTGCCCTGCTTTCTTGTACAGTAGACTAGGAGAGTATCTTATTACAACGAACCATGTAGAGAGTCTCCACTTGGGGTAAGGCGCAACACCTATCAATGTTTGGCAAGGCTATATCAACTGTGCACTTTTTGCACTACTATGGTTCGTTGTTGTTGTTAGGCCACTGGGTAAGAACCTGTGTACTCCGATAAGAAGACGAGCTTCGAGGTTCATCTGGAAGCCCTGTGCTAATGAGGGGGAAAACTTCCTTTCAAAGGTTGCCTCGGAACAGTTATGTTTCCCTAAGTCAGAAAGGGGTCTATGACTTGTGGATCCCCAGTGCGAGAGCGTCGCGATGCTCATTGGGTGGATAATTAAAGCCATGTGTTCTCCCGAGGATGCCCATTGAATCTCCCTAGCAGAAGAGATTTTGGCCTCAGAATGGAACCTGAGCAGACCCTCAGACGTTTGGACTTGTTTGTTGCTGAACTCATATCAAAACAGAACAGTTAAATCGGAATTTTGGAGAGCAATAATTTTTGCATGGAAGAACCTCAGGCCAACAACCTGGTCGAAACCAGTCACGAAACTGGAAGTCCTACTCCAACCTCTCTTCGATAACCCGTGCATCTGTAAGGAAGATGGATCCAGCTTTGCAGCCTCTTCATCCGGTGGAAGTTTTGGTAAGTGTTGGATCGAAAGGGGAGTACTTAGGATCAATGACATTTGGGACAACCTTTCTAATCAATGGATCTCTCCACTGAAACTGAGATCAAGGTTGGGTTCTGTCTGGTTCGTGGAAGAAAGATTGATCAGCCTTATCCAAGCTATCTCGGCGGATTGGCGCCACATTCTGAGTCCAGAAGGAATTGACCCTCCAGGGACGTGGTATATTACACGGCCCCTGGAGGACCAACCTTCCTTTTGGAAGCTTACGAGGATTGAGTTGAGTGGAAAGAGAGTTTTTCAACAGTGGCAGGGCCTGTCTGAGTCCAGTTTATTAATCCTCCAGGAAGAAGAGACATACCCTCCATTGGATGCAACTCTGCTCCAAACTAGAGTTTGGGAAAGTGCAATGAAGAAGGTGATTGGTCCTGCAGAGCGTTTGCACAAGGAAAAACATTGTTGGAGTTAAAAATTGTCCCGAAGCAGTGGGGATGGCAAGGGGAAGGGGAAGGTGGAGCTGATCTACCACTGATCCAGTATTCGGTTGCCCAAGGTTACAATGCTCAACGTCCCACTCGCTCCCCCCTGCAGATGGCCACTTCACGGTAGAAGCAGGTGATAGATTGTGAGGTCAGTCAGATTGAAAAAACTCTCTCTCGTTGTTGGACCCAACTACTCCAGGCCCCGAACCTGTGTGCTGCAGTTAATCCATGGCTGCTTTCCCTGTTTGCCACCCCTTCTGCGGTTACTTCGCTCCAGAGAGGTATGCAGGTTGAATTAACATGTAAGAGATGTAGTTGGGCATACGAATCTACCACCCATCTGTGGTATGACTGCCCAGCTTCGAAAAGCATCTGGGACTGGTGTAAACAATTATGGGAATCCATTTCGGGGAACTGTATGAGTTGGGACAGGTTGTGGGTGCTATTGGGGGGGATCCCGGACAACATGGATCTCCATAAAGGTTGGGGATATGTCGCTCAGGCAATCAGAGCTGTGGGATGTGAGGTAATATGGAAGCAACGCAACCTGCAAAATTTTGAAAACAGAGAGTTGACTAATAAAGAAATCAGAACTGGCTTTAAATCTTCTCTGCGACGTACCATTCAGGTAGATTGGACAAGGAAAGGTAAGAATTCATCCGGAATATGGTTCGGAGAAACTTGGGGAATGGGAGGAAGACTGGTCAGTCTGGAAGAGGGCAAGCTCGTGTTTGATAAATGGTTTTGGACAGGCTAGATTAGCGTAGTAACCTGGGCGCTCGGTTGATATCCGTAGGAGGAAGGCAGTTGGCTCTAGACTGTGGAGGGAGTGCCTGTAGAGTTGGCTTTGGTCCTTTGGTGGCCCACCTGTCGCATTAGACAGAAAACTTAAGTTGTGGGCATTTGATTGTCTTTGTGAAGGGTGATAGGTGTAGGAAGTTAGGCAGAGCTATTGGGCTGTTGCAGCCGGATAGAGGACTGGCAGACACCTGTCCCGTTCCTTCTTCCTTTTATTCTTTTTCTTTTATTTTTTTTCGTAGGCTGGAGACCTAGTTTAGTAGCGTAAATAGTAGGAGTTCTATTTTTTTGGTTTGTTTGGCTTTTCTAGGCTTGAGCAGTTTTTTCTTATCAGGAGTGGTTTCAGGACAGCGGCCTGGTGTTGGTCATATCTGTGCCTAGACTAGCCTACTCCATTGGCGAGCTTTGGCTCGTAAGCTAAACTGGCTGATGCTGCCAGGATAACTCCGGGTTGAATTGTGAGGACCCCGGCCTCGATTGTACGGTTTATAATGAGAAGGGCTTGAACCCTGTTTGAAGCCAAAAAAAAAAAAAAAAAAAAACCGCAACCCTGACGGGCTGCGAACTGATAGAAAATTGTGCTACTCCAAGCCATCTTGGCCACGGCCCCGGGCTTCGCTACCACGCTGGCCGTGGTCTAACAGTCGTGGTCGAATACACGTAGCAGAAAGTCCTGGTGGACGAAAAGAAAGCTGCAAGGCGATCGCATTCCAACAAGCCGGTTCGACTGCACTGTGCAGACGACGAGTGGCCCTGCTGACGGACGTCTTGACAAGGCGGGCGTGAGCGGGTGCACTAGCGACTGCCGGTAACGCAGCTACGGTAGGGGACTGCCGGTAACGCAGCTACGGTAGGGGACCGCCGTCGGCACTCTGGGCAAAGGGCCTGTACTCCCCTTCAAGAGAAAGCGGTCGCCGCGGGCCAGCGGATTCTCGAGGGCGCAGTTGCCGCTTCAGCTTTTCGTACGGTGAGGTGAGATGCTGTCGACAGCGGCGACCACAACTATTGGAATGGGCCGTGCTACGGGATCCAGCGTTTAAACTCGCGGTCTCTCTGGCCTGATAAAACCAGATTGCGTGCTGGGTGCATGTGTGGGTGTGTGTGCGTGCTTTGCTGGTGTGCGTCTTTCTTCGGTCGTGTGTGTGTGTGCGTGAGAGAGAGAGAGAGAGAGAGAGAGAGAGAGAGCGTGCGTTTGTGTGTGCAAGTTCGGTGTCTGTTTGGGACCTGGGATTCGAGCTCGTTTGTAGTGTAAGTGTGTGCGCTTGATTGTGTGCGTGAGTGCGCTCGCACGTTCGTATATCTGTGTGGCATCTGGATCTGGCTCGTGTTTTTGTGCGAACAAGTGCTTTCGGGTCCCTCTTCTGTGAGCGCGTGCATTTGCCTCTGTCCGTGTGTGCGAGTGCATCTGCGTGCTGACGGGTGCGTGTGCGTGTGAGTGCGTGGGTGTGCGTGTGCGTGGGTTCACGTGTGTGTGTGTGTGTGTGTGTGTGTGTGTGTGTGTGTGTGAGAGAGAGAGAGAGAGAGAGAGAGAGAGAGAGAGAGGAAGGGAGAATGCCTTCGTCTCCGGGAGGTAATCTTCCGCGCGTAATGGAGTTTCTGGATAGCGTGCTTCCAGATCCAAGTTCGAGGGCAGTTAGTAGCGCGGTTGGTGTTGGTGGGAGGCGCAAGGTCGGGGGATCGATGTCGTCTCAGGTCTCTTCCCCGAACAACATGAACAATCCTGCTGGATCCGTTCGTCTCCCATACAGGGAGGATGTCATTTGCCGAATTCGCAGCCAAATCATCTGCCTCATTCGCGCATTTTATTTGCTGGATGTGAGCACGGGTGTTTACGCACACGACAATGGCCGATTAGTTGACGTCCTGCAGTTGGACGGCACGATACCAATGGTCCATCGAGGAATCAAATACAATTTGCCCATCAGGGTCTTCCTTCTTGAAGATTTTCCACGCTTGCCTCCGATGATCTATGTTGTACCGAGCCGAGACATGATCATTTGCGCTAATCACCCCCACGTGGACGCGTCAGGAAAAGTCTCCATTCCTGATCTGGAGTCGTGGACGTATCCCCTGTCGAGTCTGTTTGACACAATCTCCACCCTGTCTGTGATATGCGGAGAGAATCCCCCGCTTTACACGAAGCAGAATCGGGCTCCTTCGGCGCGGCAAGTATCTTTGTCGCCGCCCCCTTCGACCAGGACTGTATCCAGCGCGAGGTCGGGGGGCGCCGCGCGTCCCCCCTCGCCCGCCACACCATCCTCCTCCCCTCTCTCGTCTCCTGCCGTGTCCAGTCCGAGGCCGCTTTCCCCACCTGTTTCCTTTCCATCGCCAGCCGTGGGTGGCGGCAGCGAAGGCCTGGAGCGAGACCCGCGCAATGCCAGGGTAGCCTCTCCTGTCTTTGGCAGGTCTCCGCCGTCTCCCGCGCCGTCCAGGGTCTCTGATCACCCCCCCGCTTATCCTTATGATCGCAGGGCGGGAACCGAATCGACACCCTTTTCCCGCCATTTCCGCGGTCAGAATGACAGCGGCGGCGAGTACGACAACAAGACGAGCGCGCTTCTCTCTCTGTGTGAAAAGCTCGATAACGACTTGGCAACGAAGGAGAGCAAGCTGTTGCAGGAGCAGGAGGCATCTATGGATCTGCAGAAGCTGCTTGAATCGCGATTTGGTGAAATTGAGGAGGGAGTCAGGGTGCTGAGGGAGGAGAAGGCAGCGTTAGAGGAACGACTGCAACTCGTTCTTTGTAACGTTGACGTGCTAGAGCGATGGCTCTCCTATGAGGGCAATTGCAGCGAGGGTGTTGAGGAGGACGGCAAGGATTCCAGTGCCACCGCTGATGGTGGCATGGGCGCCAGCGGGGCATTACTGGCCAGCGATCCAGTAGGAAACGGATATGACGGCGATGGCGGGCGTCGCATGCCGGAGATCGCTGACTCCTGGGATGAGGATCGTCATCTTCCCCCTCCTCCTTGGAGAAGGATTCGACCATCCAGGGGAACTGTCAACATTGATGAGGTCTTCGAGGCCGCGGATGTGTGGTCGCGGATACAGCTGGAGGCGACGGCGGAGGACATGGCGATCGAAGATCTTTCCTACTGTCTAGATGACGCTGTGCGGGCGGGGATTATCTCGTTGGACAACTACCTTCGGTACACGAGGTCGCTGGCGAGGGAGCAATTCTTTCAGCGAGCGATCTTCGTCAAGGCTCAACGGGCGATGGACGCCAGGACAACATCGCCCACCATCGTTTTATGAAGAAAGAATAGAGGGGAGAATAAGATGGGCGCCTTCCGTTAGTGAACATGTCCCCGCCTGTACGTACTCGATTGGGTAAACATTCGCCTGCCTCCCTGCGAGCGAAGCAGCACTCGTTCCCCCTGTCGATGTTGGGCAGCGTTGTATCGGGTCTCCTCGGGACTGATGTCCCGAAGCGTGAATGCTCCTGTAAAAGAGTGACTGATTGTGCTTCCGCTTTCTTAATATGGAAATCTCAACAGACCTGATGTCTGCGTCTCCTATAGTTGATTGATAGCAGTGTCCACGCTCTTGCCAGATGTACTTCCATTGTGTTCATATGTGCGTTGTGTCCTGAGGGAGCGAGCGAGCAATAGAGATGAGAGAATGTGTGTTTTATGTGTGTGTGTGTGTGTGTGTGTGTGCGTGTGTGTCCGCTATACACTCAAAAAAAGCATGACTGTGC